AGCCATGGTGCTATGTTGAGCTACAGAGGACTCAGCTCAACAATTTCTGACATTTCCAGTGAAGCAGAAGCCCTAATATTATTATGGACTACTGAACTCTTTTAGAATATTTTGCTGAGTTTACACACCTATAATATTTAAATGATGGAACTTAACAAATAAAGGGGATACAGATGAATGTCCATTTGTTATCTGTGTATTCAAAGTGGTTAGGATAGATATGTAATTACATTCTCTTAATGAATAGAAGGATTTGTTCTAATAGTGTTTGCAAATAGGATATCATGTCCCCATCTTGTATAGCAATTGACTACTAGCAAGAATGTATGCAATGTGTTAATTATTGAAACTGTCCTACCAATTTGATATGAAACTGTCTCATTGCTATTTTTCTCAATAAAATTATGAAAAAATCAAATTAGAAATAAATGCAATGAAGACTAAGAAAATAATACAAAGAATTAATCAGTTGAAAAGTTGGCTCATTGAAAGAATAAAATTGTTAAACAGTAGCCACCCTCACTTAAGAAACAAAAAAAATGAAATTCACGCAATGAGAAATGGAAAGGGTGAAATCAGTAAAGACTCTGTAGAAATTTAGAGATTATCAAAACTTATTTCCAAAATTTTTACTCTCACCGTTTGGGAAATACGGAAGAAATGGACAGATCCCTAGATACAGGTGGACTAACAAAGCTGAATCAAGAAGACATAAAAATTCTGAATAACCCAATATTCAGTGAATGAAATTGAAAATGTGATTTAAAAAAGCCTACCAACTCTGTGAAGCTCAAGTCCTGATGTGATTCACAGCTGAATTCTACAAGAAATTTAGGGAGGACCTAATGCCAACTTTCTCAAACACTTCAATGAAATTGAAAGGGAAGCAACGCTTCCAAGTGCATTCAGGGAGGCAAGTATTACTCTGATACCAAAACCAAAGAAGGACCCAACCAAAAATGAGAACTACAACCTGGTCTCTGTAATGAACATAAAGGCAAAAATCCTCAGCAAAATACAAGCAAAGCAAAAGTAGCAAATCATCAAGAAGATTATACATCATGACCAAGTGGGATTCATCCCAGCAATTCAGGGATGGTGTAATATATGAAAGTCATAAATATAATACACCACATCAAGAGTGCCAGAGACAAAACTCACATGATCATCTCAATAGATACAGCAAATCTTCTGACAAAGTCTAGCACTCATTCATGATAAAAACACTATAGAAAATTTGAATAGATGGTCTTACCCCAACCTGATAGAAGCCACTGATGACAAACCAAAAGCCAACACCCTACTGAATGGAAAAAAATTGACAGCCTTCACTTTAAATTGAGGAACAAAAACAAGAATGCCCGCTGTCATCAGTCCTGTTCAATACAGTTCTGGAAACATTAGCCAGAGCAATTAGACAAGAGAAAAACATAAAAGGAATAATGATTGGAAAGGAAGAAGTGAAATTAGCATTATTTGCAGACGACATGATACTGTACATTGAAGATCCCAAAAACTCTACTAAAGGACTTGTAAATTTAATTATTAAATTCAGTAGTGTAGCAGAATACAAAGTTGATACTCAAAAATAATAGCATTTCTACAAACAAATAATGAACGAGAACTAAGAATGAGAACTACAGCCTGAGCTGTAGAACTGCAGCTGAGAACATTCTGAGAACTGCAGAATGAGCACTGAGAGAGAAATTTTGGAAACCTTACCTTTCATAATAACACCTCCAAAAATGAAATACTTAGGAATCAGTCTCACAAAGGATGGAAAAGGTTTATACAACGAAAATGAGAATACTCTTAAAAAAGAGATTAAAAAGGATTTCAGACAGTGAAAAGATACCTCTTGAGCATCCGGGGTAATAGCTCAGTAGAATAAGTCCTTGCCTGGTAAGCACAAGGTCCTGATTTTAATCCCTGGTACCACAAAAAAAAAAAAAGAAAAAAAAAAAAAGCAAGAAACATATGCCTTGCTTCTGAATAGGAA